GGGACTGCAGCCTCAAAACAAACCCCCGCCTCCCAATTCTCCCTCACCGCCCCCACATCCCAGGGGTTCAGCATCCTGATCAGTGGCTCCCTGGCGGCCCTTCTCCGGCACTGACCGTGGCCAGGGTGGCCAGGGCGGTCGCCAGCTCGATCCAGGCCCCTCGGAATGCCAGGTCCGAGTCGCCCCGGTAGCGCAACATCCTGCGGACTGTCTCCCCCAGGTACAGATGGTTACTTCAGGATAACGCCCGGTACCGGCCCAGTTACCCAGGCAGCAGCGGGGGAAATATGGGAAATATTTCGAGTATTGGGCCTCCATTGGGTGGGAGGGCAACGTGGCCAGAAACCAGGGCGACAGGGAGCTTCGAGCTCCCTGCCACACGACTCTCAGGAGCTCAGTAGGCGAGTCCTGACACCGGAGGAGACTCCACCCAACCAGTGTTATTAATCAATGAGCCATCTTTCCAGTTCCCAGCAAGTGTACTCCTGCCTACGAAGCCAACTTCCCAGCTCCAAAGTATTGCCAATTCATGTTCAACCTGATGGTTGCAGGGTTGTTTTTTTTTTTTTTTCTTTTTTCTGCCACAAACCTGGAACCCCACAGATGTTGGCCAAGCTCTTTACCACTTTAAAAAGCATTTTGTTGGCCGGGCGGTGGTGGCGCACGCCTTTAATCCCAGCACTCGGGAGGCAGAGGCAGGCGGATTTCTGAGTTCGAGGCCAGCCTGGTCTACAGAGTGAGTTCCAGGACAGCCCGGGCTATACAGAGAAACCCTGTCTCGAAAAACCAAAAAAAAAAAAAAAAAGCATTTTGTTTTTAAAGGAAGGTTATTGGAGCTCCAATTGTTCTCATACCATCTCAGTACTAGGGTGCACATTCTATAAGACAAAATGATAGAAGCTACCCAGTGTCTGGAATGTACAGTTGTCATTCTCACACTCTCAGAGAAGCAGGTCACTGTCCCTACACTCAGCTTTTAATGATTGTAGACAATAAGACCACTTAACTGCAACTTTGCTTTCCATGATTTTTTTCTTTTTTTCGAGACAGGGTTTCTCTGTGTAGCCCTGGCCGTCCAGGAACTCACTCTGTAGACCAGGCTGGCCTCAAACTCAGAAATCCACCTGCCTCTGCCTCCCAAGTGCTGGGATTGAAGGCGTGCGCCACCACCGCCCAGCCTTTCCATGATTTTTGATATAGTCAATTATGGTCCAAAAACATGAAGTGGAAAACAAAACAAAAAAGTATGTTTCAAGTTGCATGTTATTCTGAGTGGCTTGCTAGAATCTTGTACCATCTTACTCTACCCACAGTGTCCTGCTCACACCTTATTAGGCCAAGCATCATTCCTTTGTCCACCATATGAATATGCTACCTTAAACTTACATAATGGCACCCTTAAAAATCTTAGATTCCTTGTGTACTAGTGGTTTGCCTTCATGCCTGTTGAGGTCATGTAAGGGTGTCAATTTCCCTGGAACTGGAATTACAGGTGGTTGAGCTGCCATGTCAGTGCTGGGAATTGAGCAACAAGTGCTCTAAAGCACTGAGTCATCTCTCTAGCTCCCACAATTGTGCAGTTAGTCATCAAGTTGTTGTGTCATTGCAGTCCTTGTGTTGTTAAGGCCCCATGTTACTTAGTAATGGCTCCAAAATGCAATAGTACCAACATTACTGACCTGTGTATGCTAAAGAGAAAGGTAGCAATGCTTTTAAAAAAGTGAAATAGGGGCTGGAGAGGTGGCTTGTTGGCTAAAGTACTGGCTGCTCTTCCAGAGGACTCTGATTCAATTCTTTGCACCCACAATGGTCTGTAACTCCAGCCCTAGGTATATAAATCCAGTCCCAAGAGATCCGACACTCTCTTTTGGCCTCCATATGCCCTGCACACATGGGCTATACAAATATATATGCGGGCTAAACATTCATTCACATAAAAATAATTGAAGAGAAATGGTCAAAATAAGGAAAACTAATATTCAAACATTTCTAACATTTACAGTAACAATGGATCTATCTGTGAAATTATGAAAGGAAAAAATGTGCTACTTTTGCTACGATTCAACTGTGCATAAGTGCTCGGTTAAAATGGAGAAGGTATTAAATTTGTTAGTGGGAAACATCAACAGAAAGCATGTTTCATTGGAAATGTGTGTCCCATTAAGTATTCAGGCCCTATGAACACTTCAGCAAAGGGGCCCTGAAACAAGTCCTTCTGAGTCATTTAGTACAGGGATGACTATAGCTCAAACAGGTTTGGTCAGGAAACAGATTCCTGGAGCAGTTATGCCTACAATCGGAGAATCTGCAGTCATGTTTCCAGCAGAATTTAAGATGATGAAGAAGCTGGAGATGCAGCCCGTGACTGAGCACCTGTCTAGCACATGGGATGCCCTATCTTTGATCCCTTGCACCACTGCCACCCACCCTCCCAATAAGCATGGTACTTCCAGCAATTGTGAGGCTGTGTAGGATGATCAAGAGGTCAAGGTCAGTCTTGGGGACAGAGAAGGCACAGCAAGGTCCTTTCTCAAAAACCCAAACAACACCGGGCAGTGGTGGCACACGCCTTTAATCCCAGCACTTGGGAGGCAGAGGCAGGCGGATTTCTGAGTTCGAGGCCAGCCTGGTCTACAGAGTGAGTTCCAGGACAGCCAGGGCTATACAGAGAAACCCTGTCTCGAAAAACAAACAAACAAAACAAAAACAAAACACAAAACAAAACAAAAAAAAAACAAAACAAAAAAAACAAAACCCCAGGAGGGGATGGTGTGATGGCTCACCAGATAAAGGTGCTTACTATGCCAGCCTTGTGACCCAAGTTCAATTCCTAGAACCCACACAAATATGGAAGTTGTTCTTTGACCCTCTACCATGTGTGGAGTGGTATACAAGTATGACATACCCATGCAGACAATAATAAATTTTAAAAACCTTGAAAACAAAAACCAAACCAAACAAAAAAGGGGTGAGGGAGGTGGCTCAGGGGTAAGACTTCTGGCTGTCAAAGCAAGAGGTCCTGAGTTCACTCACTATGCACATAGAAGCTAGCCTTGACAGCACATGCCTATAACATGTTGGGGATTGTGGAGAGCCAAAGTACTGGCATGAGAGCAATCTTTGTAGCCAAGGTCGGAGAGATAGTGCAGTCAAGAGGAACTCCTATCTATGTTTAGTCTGTAGAGAAACTTTCTCAAGAAGAATTTTGTTTGCTGAAGTGCTTATAAGCTGGAGCTGCAGAAATAAACTTGGAGCCTAGACCAGAACCTTGTCTTGGATTCATCTTCTCTCATCCGTCCTGCCTTTTAATTTCCAGGCCTCCTTTCAGGTGATCCCTGCTCGATCTTAAGCCGCTGGATGGCTACAGGGGATGTGTGTCCCAGGTACTTACTGAACAGTCAGTCTAGCCAAAAATGATGAACTTCAGGTTTAGTGAGACATCCTGTTTCAAAAAATGAGGTAGGGGGCTGGAGAGATGGCTCAGCAGTTAAGAGCACTCACTGCTCTTCCAGAGGACCGGGGTTCAATTGGCAGCTCACAACTGTCTGTAACTCCAGTTCCAGGGGACCTGACATCGTCACACACACATAAAACCACCATTTATTCAAATAAATGAATAAATAAAAGAGAACCATAGAGGATGATTCCCAATCTCTCCCTTGGCCTCCACAGGCACATGCACCTGAATATACATACATGTGCACAAACACCGCATACATACTGAACAATCTTGACTGTGCCTCTCTGTTACCCTTTCTATTGCTGTGATAAAATATTTGGGGTTATTTTGTCTCATAGTTCCAAGGGTATGGCTCATCATGGCAGGACTTCCTTGTAGGTATGTGAGCTGGTCACATTGCATTTGCAGTTAAGAGACAGAACAATCAATGTTCACGTTCAGCTAGATTCCTCTTCATGCAATCCAGGACCCAAGCCCATAGGATACTGCTGCCCTCCTGTAAGGCTGTTTCCCCACCTCAATAAACCTAATTAAGATAATTCCTCACAGACCTGGTCAGAGACTAACCAAACTAAATAATCTGGCACAGTTGGAACTGGAGGCTTGCCTCCTAGTGATTCCAGATTGTTTCACTTGGACAATGCTAACCACTATACTCCTATAATTTTATCACCGATGTGTATATATAGGACCAGCAGACATTTGGTTCAGTACTATCCAGTTTTAAGCATCTACTGGGGGTCTTTGAATATACTCCCCTTACATAGTTCAAAGGGTGCAAAAAGGGAAAGACATTTGAAATGACAGCAATGTGAGTGGTGGTGCATGCATGCCTATAATCTCAGCACTTAAGGAGGGAAAGGCAGGGTGCGTGATGCTCTGTCTTGAAGACTTCAAATGTACCTGATGCTTGTTTTTTCCTGATGGACTCAGCTGTTGATTTCTGACTGTTTCCTTTCTTCTATTAGGCTCTCTTATTAATCTTGCCACTAATCCCAGCAAACACTCTGGATGAATAATGTAGACAAAAAATTTAATTTTTCTTTTTACTGCAAAAACAATATTTTGTTCCCAGTATCTTTTCACTGCCATGTTGTCATCTGAACAAGCATCAAACACTTCACAGATGTTGGTACAGCAACATTACAGGAGATAATTGTCTTCTTTTCCTTTTGCAGTGCTGGGGATTGAACCCACGGTCTTGCATATGCTAGGTAAGAACCCTAACATTCAGCTACATGCTCAGCCCCAAAACTTCTCTTTTAAAATAAAAAGAATTGGGCTGGTGAGATGGCTCAGTGGTTAAGAGCACTGACTGCTCTTCCAGAGGTCATGAGTTCAAATCCCAGAAACCACATGGTGGCTCACAACCATCCACAATGAGATCTGATGCCCTCTTACAGGATGTTTGAAGACAGCTACAGTGTACATACATGTAATAAATAAATAAATAAAAACTTTAAAAAAATAAAAAGAATTATAGATAAAACTCCTTAGTACTACAATCTTAACTAATATCCATAAAAAAATCTCAACAAGGTTAAAAACTATTGTTTTATTAAAGAAAGTATAAAACATTGAATTCTACATTTTAACACACTATTATTTTAAGAATCAGCCAAATCTCTTCATATTGATGTATGTTTCAACAATTCCACTTTGAATAAAATCCTGAATCCTGAAAAATAAGTGGGAAGAAAAGTTGTTATTTACATAATTCTTCTACTTTTGGTTTTTCAAGACAGGATTTCTCTGTGTGGCCCTGGATATCCTGGAATTTCCTCTGTAGATCCGACTGGCCTTGAATCTAAGAGATTCACCTGCCTCTACCTCCCAAGTGCTTAAAGACATTCCCCACCATCACCCAGCTCAAAATTCTTGTTTTTAAAGGTGGGTGCAGGTTGGAGAGATGGCTCAGAGGTTAAGAGCATTGACTGCTCTTCCAGAGGTCCTGAGTTCAATTCCCAGCAACCACATGGTGACTCACAACCATCTGTAATGGGGATCTGATTCCCTCTCTGGTTTGTCTGAAGACAGTGACAGTGTACTCACATACATGAAATAAATAAATCTTTAAATGAAGAAGGTTGGTGCAATTACATAATATAAAATACACTATCTCAAACATTCTAAGGGTGCAGTTTGGTGCAGATAACTATATTCACTGTTGTTCAATTTCTATAGCTTTCAATTTGCAAAATTAAAAATCTATATTCAATAAACAATGAGGCCTTCTTTGCTTACCCCCACCATCCGTGGAAGCACTATTCTGTTCCTGTGACTGTTCTTTGGAACAGGGTCTCACACAAGCCCAGGCTGCCCTAGGACCCTGGGTCCTGCTGCCGCCACAGGAACTTGATATTTTAGATGTCTCATATACAATACTTGTTCTTTTGTAACTTTTTCATTTGAAGCATAATGTCCTCAAGATTCACTCTGGTTGCAACAGGTGACACTCCCCTTTTAAAATTGACAGTCCCTCTGTTACATATACGATGCACGGTATTACCATATTTTTGCACTTTCAGCTTGCTTCCAAGAGAGTACTGCTGTTTTTTAATAGGATGCCATGAATATGAGGGTATACATTTTTTGAGATCTTGCTTCCTATTCTTTAGTATACATACCCAGATGTAGATTTTTGACATCATATGGTTGCTAAGAGAACATTATACTCTTTTCAAAACAGATAAATCAATTTATACCTCTACCAACAATGAACAAGTGTCCAATTTTTCCACAAAATGCTTGCCAGCTATTTTTGGTAGTCATTTGATCAAATATGTAAATTACTCCTGGATTGTCCATTCTGTTACACCTACTATTGTATAAATAAATTTTTTTTTAAATAAAAAAGACAATTTAAGCCGGGCGGTGGTGGTGCACGCCTTTAATCCCAGCACTGGGGAGGCAGAGGCAGGTGGATTTCTGAGTTTGAGGCCAGCCTGGTCTACAGAGTGAGTTCCAGGACAGCCAGGACTACACAGAGAAACCCTGTCTTGAAAAACCAAAAAAAAAAAAATACCATCATCATCTGTAATGTTGCTGTACCTATATCTATACCTAGCACCTGTAACCCTAGCACTCAGGAGGTTAAGGCAGAAAGATGGCATGTTTGAGACCAGCCTGGGTGACATATGTCTAAAAAAAGATACAGTAACTAGACTTTGGTAATAGGTGAAAGAGTAAGACTTCCTCATTTAGTATGTTTTTAGAATTATATTGATTGTAATACATATACCATCTGAACCTAGTTTTGAAAGACAGACTTCCTGGGAGGGTGGTACATGTCCTTAATCTCAGAATTTGGGAGGCAGAAGCAGCCAGATTGTCATTTACATAGGGGGGTTCCAGGACACAGTAATATCTAAAGAGACTGTCTCAAAAGAACAAACAACAAAATAAACAAAAAAGACAGGGATTTGAATATCTACACCATAAAACTTTACCTGTGGCACCTGTGCTACACACGACATTAGTAAAACTTCTGGGGCTTTCCTTGAGGTCTTCCCATTTTTTTTTCCATCTCTCTCTTTAGTTTATTTGCTTTGTATCTCTCAGCCATTAAAACAAGTTCCTCTGGGATATTCTGAAATTATTAAATGTATTATTAGGATTCTGTGTTCCTTTCTATGACATGCTGAATGATCTTCAAATTACTTCAGAATCCCACAATTATAAGACATTTTCGAAAAAAAGGGGGGGGAGGTAGGTGGAGAAAGGTCTTTCTCTGCCATTTAACTCCTAAATATGTTTATTTCTAAGCTACAAGCTAAGAATAACCTCAACTGTACCCATCACTCTGCTGCTCCGTTTCTGTTGTTTCCTCGCTGCTGAACATGTTTTTATTTTTGATTTTTTTGTTTGTTTTATTTTATGTGTATGACTACTTTGCCTGCATGTATGTCTAGGCACCTCCTCTGCACCTGGTGTTTGCAGAAGCCATAAGAGGGTGTCAGATTTCCTAGAACTAGAGATGATTGTGAGCCACATGCTCATGAGAAATTGGTTCTGGGTACTCAGGAAATGTGCTCTTAATTGCTGAGCCATCTCTCCAGCCCCAACACATCTTAAAAAAAAATCATATATTTTATGTTGTGTTTGTGTGTGCTCAGGCTCCTGGTTAGAGGACAATTCTTGGGAGTCAGTTCTCCCCTGCCACACTGAGACATCTGAGGATCAATTTCAGGTTGCCAGGCCTATGTGTACTTGTCTCACCCATTTAGCTATCTCAGTGGACCTTATATATTTTTTAACTAAATTATAAAACAGTAGGTTTCCACTCTATGTTTTTTTCACACATCCTTCATTTTGGCCAGCCTTCCTCCTCTCTCTCAGACTGCCAACACCCCTTTTTAGTGGAACCATTTCTTATGGATTCTGTCTCACCTTTGGACCGAGAGTGCTTTGACTGCTATCTGTTGTTCACTCCTATACGTTAGGCTTTCCACTCTTATACTCCCATAGCTCACAAGCTTTGCCAGTTGATAACCCTTATATTAATTTACTGTTATACATCTTACTCGGTAAGGACCCTCAGTACCTGTCATAACATATGAATAAACATGAACATGTATATTTCTAGTAAGTTGCATATTCTCACCTGATTTGCTCTTTCCAAAATATTAATCAGTTCGGTGGCAACCCTCCAATCATTTCTTGTGATAAGGGTAATTGACATTCCAGTTCGCCTTTAAGAGGAAAAAAGTTCATGTCATCTATCTATCTATATGGTATATATTCTCATAATTCAGTTAATACAGAAAACAGAACAAAACCAAGAAACCTCAACCTTTACACATATGTGGTATAGAGCTAGTATCACATAAACAGCAATTTAGAATCTAAATAGTCATCCCTTAGCATTCAATGGCGTTGGCTCTAGGACTTCATGAGGACATCAAATCATAGAGTGCTCAAGTCTCTTACATAAAATGTAATAATACATTACATAATAATCTTAATACATAAGATTTATGTATTATCCTGTATAATATAAATCAGTGCCTAGACTACGTATCATACTTGTACACATATATGCACACACATACACACTTTACTAAAATAGATGTCATAATCTTCTATCTTTGGAACAAAGACAAGAAAATATTCTGCGTGTTCAGCACAAGCAGTTTTTAAAAAAACATTTTTGATTTATGGCTGGACAAGTTTGAAGACATAGAAATTCTGGGTTCAGAAGGCTGGTATAATGTTCAGGTTACATTAAAAACAGCCCAAGAGTTCAACAGTAAAGGTAAAGGTTCTCTTCTCATGCTAATACAAATCTGAATACTTTGTCGATAATAATAAAAATAATCAACTGAGCACAGTTCACTGTTGGAATGCTGCATAAACAATTACATACTTGGAAAGCCAAGGCAGGAAAATCACAAGGTTCAAGGCTTGTCTGTGGGATGCGGGTAGTGGGAATACAAAGAGGCCCAGGGATATGGCTTAGTGGTAGTGCCCTTCCTAGTATGTATGAGGCCTTATATATTTTGTAATCCCAGTATTACAAAAACAAACACAAACACACATGGGGGTCTGGAAAGATGACTGTTCTTCCAGAGGTACTGAGTTCAATTCCCAGCAACCACATGGCAGCTCACAACCATCTATAATGGGATTCTATGCCCTCTTCTGGTATGCAGATCTACAGGTAGACAAAGTGTTCATATACATAAAATACACAAACAAATAAAAAAGAACAAAATGTTAAAAGAAAGAAAGAAAAAAACCCTATAGACAACAATAAACAATTAAAAAAACCAAGAAGCCAATCACAGCAGGATCTAGTTCATCCAGATGAAAAGAGATAAAAGAATCAATAAGGGTCAAGAAAGAAACAGAACATTTAGAAGAGAATAAAATGGTTTCTGGGCAAGAACAGTCTCTGAGGGGGTGATGGGAATCCAGAACCAGAACTTGCTTCTCTCCAAGGTAGACCCAGCTGGCTTACCCTGCTCTCCCAGTGCGCCCTACTCTGTGTACATATTCTTCAATGTTCCGTGGAAAATCATAATTGTAGACATGAGTGATATCATGGACATCAAGACCTCGAGATGCCAAGTCAGTAGCAATAAGTATTCTCACTTTACCTAAAGAGTAAAGACAAACACTAAACCTGTCTGGTAATAGTGAGTCCAAAACATGTTAAAATTAATTACTTTTATTATTTAATCAGATGATTATTGCTTACATGAAAATGGAAAAGAAAGATTTTTAAACTACTGGCAAATCACAACACAACATACCACAGTTCAACAAATGGTTCTCTCCTGACCTATCTGAACGATATGGGAAAGAAAAATGTTTCAATGTGGTCTGAATGAGAATAGCCCCCATACACTCCTATGTTTAAATGCTTGGTCCCGGGCTGGAGAGATGGCTCCGCGGTTAAGAGCACTGACTGCTCTTCCAGAGGTCCTGAGTTCAAGTCCCAGCAACCACATGGTGGCTTACAACCATCCATAATGAGATTGGATGCCCTCTTCTGGTGTGTCTGAAGACAGCTACAGTGTACTCATCAATAAAATAAATAAATAAATATAAATAAATAAATATCTAAAAAAAAATGCTTGGTCCCTTGTTGGTGGAACTGTTAGGGAAGGATTAAGAGGTGTGGCCTTGTTTGAGAAGGTGTGTCACTGGAGGATGGCTGAAGTTTCAAAAGCCCCCCCAGCATTCCTAGTGCAGCTCTCTGCTTCATGAGCCCTCAGCTATTGCTCCAGTGCCTGCCTGCCTGCTGTCAAGCTCCTCGTGATGGTGAGGGGCCCCAAAGAAACCCTTCCTTTTATATGTTGTCTTGGTCATGGTGTTTTATCACAGCAATAGAGAAGTAACTAAAATATACATCATTCAGTTAAACTAAGATACAGTCTCCATTATAAGATAATATTCTGACACTTGTTCATGTATTAGTCTTTGTGGAGTTGCCTAGTTATCTCTCAGAAGCAGATAAATAGAGCTTTAGCAAGTCTATTTTAGGGTTTATAAGGCAAGGACAGACTAAAAAATGGGACTATGAACAGATACCATCACCCACCCAGTCAAGCCCAGGTTCTAGACTTACCTGAAAACTACAACAGACAGCAATTATAACTCACCTGTCTTAAAGTTCTCTAATGCTTTCTCTCGGTCACTCTGTTCTCTGTTGCCATGCAGAGACTCCACTGATATGTGTCGGAGAATCAGATCACTTGATAAGTGATCGGCACTGAAGCAAAGAATAAAGTTAATGATCTTAAGGGCTTATTCTAATACCATTATCGAGTAGCAAACTGTCAAGTTGTCCCCATTTGAAATTAGCTACAAACAGAAAGTCATGAGTCAATCAAGTGGACTGCTGAGGACGAGGAGGACAGAGGGAAGTACCTACACAGCTTTTCTGCTGACAAAGACAATGACTTTGTCTTTAGGTGACATATTCTCAAGGAAGGTCTGGATATGAGTTCGTTTCTCTTCTTCTGTGGTAATGATTATATTTTGTTTCACTGTACTCACAGCCTAGATAATTCAGAGATCATAGTATATTAGCACCAGAGAGAAGCCCCTGTGGCTCAAACAATGCATTTGTAATCAATTCATACTTTGAAAACACAAAAGTAGTGAGCATAGCAAATTACCTATTTCTACCCAGCATGTGAGCTCAGTCTTTGATTTTTATCATTTGTTTACCTGAGTCTGGGAACACCTGAATGACTGGCAGGCATGCTGTAAGCTATTGGCTACCGCTGTAAGAACAACCATCACCTAATACCATGTTTGCAAGAATTATCTTCCTGAACCTTGGATATCAGACTTCATGGATGAATGAGAGGATAAAATATGAGTCTCAATTCAGTGAGTACTTCAGCAATTTAATACAAAATCACTGGTGTCATTATTTAACCACAATAAAAAAAATCTCTTTAGATTGAAGTACTTTAGATGAAGTACTCCCATTGTTTCTCCAGAATGTTTATCACTTTACCAAGTATTATTTCATATTACTCTTAATTTTTATGTATATGTATGCAGAAACATAAGAGTGGAGGCCTAAGGTTGACAGAATCTTCCTCAGTTGCTTCCTACTTCATTAAGGCAGGGTCTCTTACTGAACTTAGAATTCTATGACTTTGCCTAGTTTCAGTAGCTGGCTTGTCCAGGGATCCTGTCTTTATGATCACCACATCTGCCTGGTTTCCACTTAGGTTCTGATGATCTGAATTCCACATATTTCAGTGGTGAGTACTTTATCCAATAAACTGCCTCTCCAACCCCTCTATTTTCTATTATATAGTATTAGTAAACTAATGAATCAACAGAACAGACATATCAAAATTTGCTATTTTCTTTCCTTGTGTTGGGGATTGAACCCAGAGTTTCATGAATGCTAAATATCACTATCTATCACTAAAGTATACCCCACTATGTTCTTTAAGCACAATTTAAAAAAGTTTCAATAGCAATAAAACAAGCTTACAACTAGATCCAAAGTACCAACATAGACAATCATTGGTTCTTTCAAGTAAGATTGTGCAAGACGGCGGACAGCATATGGCCAAGTAGCACTGAAAACAAAACAAGATACATCATCATCAAAACTTTATTATAACATGTTACCAAATTTCTTTAAGCATTCTGTGAATCATGTTACTCATGAAAGACATTTTTATATTTCCAATCTGTTAAATGAGTGAAACAAATTTACAATTAAATTCTACTAAGAGTTGTCTGTCTGGCTACAGTTAAGCTATTGGATGCAATCTTTTTTTTTTTTTTTGGGTTTTTCGAGACAGGGTTTCTCTGTGTAGCCCTGGCTGTCCTGGAACTCACTCTGTAGACCAGGCTGGCCTCGAACTCAGAAATTCACCTGCCTCTGCCTCCCAAATGCTGGGATCAAAGGCGTGCGCCACCACTGCCCGGCGTTTTTTTGGATGCAATCTTTAACTAGGTTTAATAAAAGATAGTTTTTCATTCACTTATTTTTCATTTATATTATCTAAAGATTAAAATACCTATATAACTTCAAATAAAAGTTTCATATATAGAAAGGTAATAGAAGGTTAGTTATATCTTATCCTTTATAAAAGACAAAATGAACAAACCACCAAAACCAAATAATCTATAATTATCACATAATGTCAGCAAGGAAAAACAAGTACTTAGGCTCAATACAAACCACTGTAAGTATACTGGTCAAAAGCTATATAGATTTTCTTCAATATACATAAAGTATGAAATTGGTCACCTTTTGTACCTTCATATACAATGAAACATAACTTCAATTTTTGAAATGTCAGAAAACAAAAAAATAAAGTGATTAAGTAGTTTTCCTGTCATCAAAATATCCTTTTTGTAACTTAAAAAATTTCCATTCACACAAAAATGCTTTTTATTTTATCAAATCCACCCTTCACTGCCTTCCTAACTCCTACTAGGATCCTCTCTCCCACCTTCCAGCCTCGGGGCTATCCTCTTTCTCCGGCTCTCTCTTTCACAGACACACACAGACACACCCAACTTCCTGAGTTCAATGTGTTGCCACATGCATGTAGGTGTAGGGCTACACACTGAAGCATAAGCAACCTACCATGGCCCCATTCCTGAAGAAAACTTACTTTCCACTGGCAACTGTTCAATCCAAGCTAGAACTCTGACTAGATTGATTGTATGTAGGTCTTGTGTAGCTTGTCATGTCTAGAAGACACTGTTTTACAGTCCTCCCTGACTTCTGGCTCTTTCATTCTTTTACCCCCTCTTCTGTGACATTTCATAGACCTGGGGGTGGAAATCATATACTAGTCTTTAAATAAAAGGTTTAGTTTTTTACTTTAATTACATGTATATGTGTGCATGGGTATATGCATGTGTCTGCAGGTGCCCCTACAGCCCAGAGGCATCGGATTTCCTGGAAATGGAGTTACATGTGTGAGTCATCTGATGTGGATTCTGGGAACTGAATCTGCGTCCTCCGCATGAGCAACAAGCACTCAAATCACTGAGCCATCTCTCCAGTCTCCACACCTTATTCTTATTAGACAATATGGGCCTAGGAAGAATTATTACTTATACATCACACAATCAATCATTGCTTCCTCAGTTTTTTATCAGGAAAAATAATCAGATATCAAATGTTAACCTCTAAAGATAAGTGATCATTTATTCAACATAGATTTTCCATGAAATGTAAATTTCATGTAAAACCCATAATGAGTGGCTCAAGCGGGAAAAAGTACTCACTGCCAAGGCTGAGAACCTGATTCCACTTCCAGAACCTTTATGGTGGAGGGAACCTACTCTTGTAAGTTGTCCTTTGACTTTTCCACATATGCCACAGTGCATGCACCCACAAACAAAAATAAATATAGCAGGGCATGATAGTGCATGCCTTTAATTCCAGCACTTGGGAGGCAGACCTCTGAGTTTGAGGCCAGCCTGGTCTACATGGAAAGTTCTAGGCTAGGCAGAACTTTAGAATGTCTCCAAAAACAAGATAAAATAACAAATACATCCATAATGTAGGAAAGCTGTAACAGTCAATGATAAAGTAGCCATTATTATAGTTACATTTAAGAATCTCAAAATACTTTTAAGTAATGCTCTAAAATATTGTTGAGAAATCAGCCTAATAGAATGGGTTTTTAACTTACTTCTATTCGGAATACATAACTAGGCACACCTACCTTGTCATAATAGTCTGCCGGTCTGGACGTACATCTAACAAAATCTTCATTATCTGGGGTTCAAATCCCATGTCCAGCATCTTGTCTGCTTCATCTAGAACCTGTACTCAAAGCGAAAAATGTAGTCAATCTCATATCTAAACACTTACTTCTCCCATTAAGCCTATAACCACTTCAACTTCTGAGAGACCCAAAATAAACTTTCTGTGGGCATAAAATACAGACTCATTTGTTTCACTTGATTCCCAGTTGCTTCTTTGGCCATCGAGTGAGAAAAAAATGAATATCCAACTTTCCTGCTCTTAACTATGCTAAACAGAATGGAAAATAGTCCCAGAATACAAAGTTCTATATATAAAATAGCCACCTCATCACCCAAATTTTTCTACAGATTCAGTTCTTTTGCCTCCCAGTATTCCAAACCTTTATTCCATGATTACCAAATAGGTTACACTTTTCAGGTTGATAAAGTTATTCATTTGCAGGTCATTCAATCTTCCAGGAGTTGCAATGATGATGTCTACACCTTTGGAAACATCTTGTATTTGTCCATCTCTATCACCACCACCATATACACAAACACTTAAAAAAATCAAGAAGTTCAAATTTAAGCAAAGAATATGCCATAATTTAAAACTGCAACTAGCCTAAACATTTTGGTTATAGGATAAGATGAAATAAAAGAGAATCTGATGTTTTCAGGAGTACCTGTCCCTTTGTGGAAACTATCCACACCCCTGGGCCACAGTGTTTCCTAAAGAACTGCTTCTGCATTGTTTGGCTCTATGACATGACTACTGTGCTCAGATCAGATTCTGTAGGGGTGAAACTAATGAAGATGAGAGAAGCTACACTGACCAAAGGGAAACTCAGTAAGACCCTGTCCTGCTAGTAAAACACAGAAGTGATTTTACACATGTATTTTATTTTTTGAGACAGGGTTTCTTGACTGTCCTGGAACTCAATCTGTAGACCAGGCTGGCCTTGAGCTCAGAGATCATCTACTGTCTGCCTCCCAGATGCATCACATGGTAACTCACTAATATGTATGACATTGTATACCAGTTGAAAATTAGTATGTAGAGTTGGGGTGATAGCTCAGTGGTTGAACTCTTGGCTAATATGCACAAGGCTGTGAATTTGGACTCAAGAACCACACACACAGACATTCTAAATTTAAATAAAGTTACTACAAACGTGAAGGTGAAGATAACACTTGTACAGAAATGACTTACCTTTTAAGATCACCATATGAATATTTAGAACATTCAGCTTCTACTTGAAGAGCTAATTCCCGGGTGGGCGTAAGGACTAACATGCCCGGTCCATTTCTTTGTTCTCTAGCTCTTTAAAAGGGAAATAATAATACTAAGTTGTTTGTCTTAGATGCATTGAAAGTTCTTTAAGAATAAGATTTTCAATAATGAGTATCAAAGACAGACAAGGCATATTTGTACTTTTTGGTGAAGTGTATGATTAAAAGTTTCTCCTGTAGACTTTGGTTTATTAATCACAATTAACATACCTAAATATATAAGCTGCTGGTATAAGTTTCTATAAATTTTTACTACAAAGGCATAGTTACCATAAAAATGACAAAAAGTCACATACACCACAAATCCACTGTCACAAATTCTTATTTATTCACTTAACATGACTTTTTAATTAACAGTTCACTTGAAATGACATTTTCTCATTGAATAGAACTATAGTGGACAATTTATTCATACAATTTTAATTAAACAGCATGATTTAGGACAATTTAAACAATTTGACTGCAGTGTCTTTCTATTATGACTCTGGTGGTAACTGCTGCATATTGCTTCCTAAAATAGTTTTATGAATGTATACTTCATCAGCATAACCACATGCATCCTGGCCAAGAAGAGGCATCAGTCTGAACAATGCAAGAAATGACAGGAACTTAATTAGAGTCTGGTTCTATATCTATTAAATCCCTACTAAGAGAGTGAAGCCAAAGGAATTCTTACAGTGGTTGAGAGTCTAGATGAATAAATCCAGGCATTAAGTAGGACAGTGTCTTCCCTGTTCCAGTTTGTGCTACTCCAATTAGATCTATTCCTTGCAGAACTATTGGCCACGCCTGTGACTGAAAAAGAGTAATATACTCAAACAAGAAGCATAACTATGTTTGACATCTGTTCTTGTCCTTCAGCTCTATGTTTTAAAATACATTGTTGTTAGGCATTTGCTGTGCTAGCAGGAGGTACTGGGCACATGCTTTTAAGACACAGCTATTCCCTGGTGGTTTAACTTCTAACACACATTAATTGGGGGAAAGTGTTAAATGAAAAATTTAAAAAGGCATACCTGAATTGGTGTAGGTTTTTGAAAGCCTGCTCTTTTAATATTTTCCATAACTTGAGGGTAACCTTGAAAGGCATCTTCAAATTTACATATAGGGTTGGGGATAGGACGTTTCTCACCATCTTTCAAGTCATCACATGTTATATTAAAATTTTCTTTCCTTTATAGAAAATACAAGCATTAGTGGATTTTTTTCAATTTCCATAAGAAAGAAAAAATATTTCTTACAATCAGTTTGGGTAACAGCTAGAAATTCATCTGCAACTGATTAAAACCAGACTTGTAGAATTTTAAGGTAGAAAAGACTAAAAAATGGAGGGCTGGACATGGTGGCACACACTTGGAATGCAGCACTTGGGAGGTGAAGACAGGAGGATTTGAGGCCAGTCTGGGATATACAGACTATTTCAAAACAAGCAAACAAATGAACAAAGAGAAAGAGAAATAGGAGCCTGTTTCCTCTTATGTGAGAGTGCAGAGGGAAAGGCAACTCTCCTTCAATTATATGGATGGATGAAGGAATGAGTATGGAAAGTGGAACCCACATATGTGAACGTAACGCAAAACTAGACAAGCATGGTCCTAAGACTAGTTATGTGACCAAGGTTTAGCATTAGCTCACTCATCTTTCCCATCCATCCATCCATCCATCCATCCATCCATCCATCCACAAGTCTCATGTGGCCTTGACTATACTCAAACACTACATGTAGCTTACAATGACCTTAAATTTCTTGGTCATCCTACCTCAAATTCCATAGTGCTAAGATTACAGATATGCACTATTATGCAGAGCCATTACTTTTACAACAGACTTATTATTTTTAAGATTCGTATCAGTTTTTAAGTTTTAAGTTTTAAGGCTGTTATTAAGAGACTGGAGAGATGGTTCAGCAATTAGGCATACTTGCTGCTCACACACTGGGGTTCAGTTCCCAGTACCCCACACATAGTGGCTCATAACAGTTTGTAACTCTTTTTCCAGAGGATTCAGTGCCCTCTTCTGGCTTCCTTGGGCACTGAATACATGAAGTGTACACATACCCATACAGGCTAAACACTCACAAACTCATAAAAAAATCTTATGGCATCAGGAAGGAAATGAAGAGGTTAAGAAATTATTCTTTGCTTTGTAGCAGGCAGAATACAGAAAAGCATACCTGGCCAAAATTCAGAGAATAACTGATTGAAAATGTGTCTTCTAGATATGAGAAGGGAGCTGCACCCATGAAACCTCAGGTATACGGCTGCCTAAACAAGACCTGAATAGTTACACCAATTGACAAGTATGGCTGAGGGCGCAAAATCTCACAAGGCCCCACCCCCAAATGAAGAGCTACAGGCAATCAGTGTCTATTGAGGGAGAAAGAATCATTCTTCCCCAAGGACAAAGCTCCTAAGTGGTTATCTAACACCAATAGTCAGCCCTGAAAACATATATTATGTAACAACAGATAGAGTTGAGCAGGATACATAATTCGTGTAACAATGATATGTAACAGTAAGAAAAACGCCATGAATTTGAAAGAAAGGGACACAGGGTAAGTTGGATGGAGGAGACGAAAAGTGAACATGATGTAAATATAGCACACGCATGTGAAACTTAAAAAAAAAAAAAAGAGGAAAAGCAATTACAGTGCTGGCCAGATGGCTCACTGAGTAAAGGTGTAGGACAGCAAGTCCACAGTTCTATCCCTGACACCACAGGGTAGGAGAGAAGCAATTCCTGTAAGTGATCCTTTGGCCTCCATGTGTGTGCCATGCCATACATATATGTGTGCACATACACATAGATAAATAAGTGTAATTAAAAGGTAATGGGTTTCATTGGAAAAAAAAGAAATTATTGTATTTAAAAAACAAGTTTTTTACCTTTTCAACTTTTCACTGTTAGCTGGTTAGCTAGGTTGTAGAATACTGGCCTAGAATGCATGAAGCCCTGAGTTCACTCCTAAGCACACATACGCTGGGCAGGATGATGCACACCTATAATCTCAGCATAAGGAAGGTAGAGGCAGGAGGATAAGAAATTCAAGGTCACTTTCGGCTGCATAGTAAATGAGGCCAGCCTGGGAAGGCAGTCTCAGAAAAAAAAAAAAACAACTTACAATTTATATTTATTTACTTAACATGTGTGTATATGTATGTTGGCAGTGGGGCACATACTTGCCACAGTGCCCATGTGGAGGTCAGAGTCAACCATGTGGATCACAGGCTGTCAAACCAGGTTTTCAGGTTTTATGGCAAGTGCTTTTAACTGTTGACCAACCTTACCAGCCCTAAAAAAAAAAAAAACCAAACAAACAAAAAAACCCAAAACCCCCTTAATTTTCCAGTGTTGGAGACATCATTTTCTAAACTACTACCTAATACAATAGGCATCCCTAACATGTGACAATTTAAATTTGAATTTAAAATACAGTCATGAAAATTAATGATGGGGGATGTATTCTGAAAGATTAGTGATCAGCAATTTCTCGGTTTCATAAACATGACAGTGTATTTGCACAAAACTATATATAACTGTCAAATACAACCTGGCCTTTATAATTTTATGTACTTTAAATTTTGTATCTCATTATTTTATGTGTATAAATGTTTTGTCTGGATGTCTAATACCCAGAGGTCAAAAGAGGAAGTTGGATTCCAGGAATTGAGTTATAGATGGTTGTGAGCTGACATTCAGGCGTTGGGAATCAAACCTGGGTCCTTTAAAACTCTTAAAAATTAAACTCTCCAGCCTAACTCGGCCTTTAAAAAATAATTATTTATTTTCATGTTTCTGAGTGTTACCCTTGCATGTATATTAGTGCACCTTGTGCATGCCAGGCAAGCATTGTACCAGCTGAACTATATTCTTGGCCCTACAGTAATTGTTTAAATTAGGGAGGACCAAAACCAGAGTCTTGTACATGCCAGGTAAGCACTCTACTACTGAGATGCCCCCAGGCCCTAGTTTACTTTGGTTAGAACAAATATACTTTAAAATCATGCTCAGGAGCTGTCATTTGTTCTCATTGTATTTTACAAGCTGTCCGTTACACAGTATACTCTCACCAGCACAGCTTTAGTTGTACCACATTATCACACACATGTGAATAATGCATTGCATTGTGTTATGGCAGCTACAATCACTTCAAAATAGTAATTCTTCAGATCCAGTATATAATCCTATGGGGTCACTATCATGGTTGAGGTTGACTTTTCACCCCAGCATGTACTGTTCCCCAGCTATAAGAGCCACAGTTAGTGTTCAGTTGATATGTATAATACTGAGACACACACAGACCAGATTCCATCATCACAACCGGACATCTGTTGTTATTTGTGAGTCTTGCTGACCTTGAACTCATGATGCTCCTGCCTCTGCTCCTGAGTGCTGGGATTACAGGCATGTGCCACCATGCTCCACTGGAGTATTCAACAAAAATGCTCTAAAATTCATGTAAGATGCAGCCAAATCTTCAGCTGAACAAACACAGAAGTTGGGTGTAGTAGTCCAATATAATCATTCAAAATCCTTGCCTAATGAGTCAACAGTCAAGACCTAAGAACACACTGAGGTAATGAAACAACTACTCACCTCCAGTTGTCTATCTGCACTTGTGACATTGAGCTTGTCGTTGCTGACTCTGTGTAAAAGTTTTTCTTAATTGGAGGTAAATCTGAGACAAAGATGACAATCCAAACTTTGATAAATAAGAATACTGTACATTTACTAACACTTATTCAAAACTACAAGTATCAAACTAGAATAATATTTAGTTCTCTATGCGTACAGTTTTAGAAAGTTCTACATGTTGCCACCCAGGATTATGCCAGTCTAAAAGATTTCTTTTTGGTTTTTCTTTCAACTATATTTTTCACCCAGGAAAGAATGTTTTTAAAAATAAATGTATTTTGTTACTTACTATATATGTCTGTGTACATCTGTGTGAGTGTATGCCACATGTGTAGGTGTCTGTAGTGGCCAGAAAAGGTAGTCAGATCCTCTGGAGCTGGAGTCTCAGGCAGTTATGAGTCAGCCAACAAGGGTGTTGGGAATTAAACTCAAGTCCTCTGCCAGAGTCACAGGTATTCTTAACCATTCAGCCCCCAGGAAGAAGTTTTTAACAGCAAACAGGAGAGAATGATTTTTTTCTTATGCAGGGACTCACTGTGTAGAACAGGCTGGCCTTAAACTAACATAGATCTGCCTGCTTCTGCCTCCCAAGTGCTGGGATTAAAGGTATGTGCCACTATGGCTGGCTGGAAAACATGATTTTTAAAGAAGCCCAAATAATTGCAACAAATGAATTTATTGTAAAAACACTTAAGATTGATTTTAATTTTTCTTCAAAAGTCATTAGTTTAAAATCTTTTAGATTTATTTTTATCTAGTTAGCTTTTTAGATTAAAATCTCATTACATAGCTCTGGCTGGCTTTAAACTTACAGAGATCTGCCTGCCTCTGCCTCCTGTGTGCTGGGATTAAAGGTGTCTGCTACCATACCAGGCTATTTTTATTATGTGTATGAATATATGTCTGTATGTGGGTATGTTAGTGCAGGTGCCTGCAGGGGCCAGAGACACTGAATCCCCTGGAGCGGGAATAACAAGTGGTTCTGAGACAACCACCATGCGTCTTAGGAACAAACTCCTGTTTCTGAAAGAGCAGTACTATTCACTCTTAGTCACAAAGCTATCTCTTCAGTTCCATAACATTAGTATTTATTTTCGTAATACTGATAATCAAACTCAGAACTTCATCTTCAGGAAAAGTACTCTACCATTCAGCCATAAACTCCCAGCCCCCATACTACTACTTTTAGGCATTAAATATAGATCCTCATTCAATTTTATGAGGTTTATGAGGTTGTCTCAATCTTGTGTGTATATGTGAGTGTATATGCATGTGCAAGCCAGAGAATGGCGGTCCTTGTTGCCTTTCACTGAATTTGAAGCTCACCAACTGGCTAGAGTGGGCTGGTCAATGAGCTCTTAGGATCTACTTGTCTCTATTCCCCAAGCTATGGCATTATAGACATTCAGCATCCACCTTGCTTTTTATAAGTGGGTGCTGGAGATCTGAACTTGGTCCTCATGCTTAATGTGGCAAGCACAAGAGTTATGACCTTCTGTAACTCTTGAGGTTGTAAAAGTTCATTATACCTCTTCTAAGCTTAATTCCTTCCAGTGTCCCCATAACACATCGACTGTCTAAAAACTTAACATGCAGAGGTTCTGGCCCACATAATGATATAGTTACCAACATTTTGATTACTTTATCATTAGCATATTATCTTTTGTTTATATGTGAAGTATGTGTATGTATACACACATCTGTGTATGAGAGTATGCTCTAGCCAGTAGAGGCTAGAGGGCAATAAGGTATCTCCCTCTATCCCTTTCGCTATATATTTTTTTGAGGCAGGATGTCTTGTTGAAGCTGGCAGTCAGTCCTCCTGGCTCTGTCTCCCTACCCACATGCTCGAGTTATAAGCATGCACAGGACCACAACTAGCTTTTTATGTGGGTGGGGTACTAAGAGCTAAACCCAGGTCCTTATAGTTACACAGTAAGTACTCTTAAGCAGTGAGCCATCTCTCCAATCTATACAAAGAAAAATTAAATAATGATGCTATATTGCTGCCTCATTTAATAGCTAAGTTTGCTCAGTAGGAATCTAAAAGTAGATACTTTATAGAGCCCCTGCTTCTTAATTCTCTCAGAATTACTTTTCACTAGTAATATTTTTACCTGACAGAGGATATTATATAAAACCACTATACATATCAAATATTCACTAATAATAAATCAGAGATTTACTTCAAAAATTTGGTATACACAGAATTTTACAACTTATTAAAGATTAAAGTAAAATTGTATTGTAATGAGATAGATATGCCTATTTTTTTATTTAATTTTGTTTTCTGAGACAAAGTTTCTCTGTGTAGTCCTGGCTCTCTTGGAACTCACTCTATAGACCAGGCTGACCTTGAACTCAGAGATCCAACTGCCTCTGCCTCCCGAGTGCTGGGATTAGAGGTATGCACCATCACTGCCCGGATTATTTTTATATAGAGAACTAAATTTAGTTCAATAACACCACAGGGTATAGAGCACTGTTTTCAGAATTATATTTTTATATTCTAGTTGTCTATACTTAAGAATGCCATTTCACAAAAATGCATAGTATAAAGTGATCACTTCATAAATTGCTGAAAATTCTGTCCTAATCCCGAGGTAAATTCTTTAAATGATTTTCTTTTCTGAAATTCCCCTGCAACACAAATAGAAAATTTTATTTATTTATTTTTTTTAAGACAGAGTCTCACTATGTCACCCTGGCTGGCCTGGAACTTGTTATGTAGACCAGGCTGATCTTAACATCTCCTTGCCTCTGTCTTCAGAGTTCTGGGATTGGGCTGGTGAGATGGCTCAGTAGTTAAGAGCATTGACCGCTCTTCTGGAGGTCATGAGTTCAAATCCCAGCAACCACATGGTGGCTCACAACCACCCTCAATGAGATCTGATGCCCTCATATGGGTGTCTGAAGACAGCGATAGTGTGCTTACATATAATAAATAAAAAACAGAGTTCTGGGATTAAAGGTGTGTGCTATCATGCCTGACCAGTGACTTTTAGAATCAAACATTCTAGCACAATACAATTCAAAGATATACTAATTTGATAGTTTAACATGGTAAGGAACGTGAAAAAAAAAACTTAACTCTTTTTTTCCATAGTTAAAAGCATTATGTTTCTGGAAGATCAAAAAACTTTGCTTGTATGGTAAAAAAAAAAAACAAAAACAAACAACAACAACAACAACAAAAAACCCAACAACTAAAAAACAAAAAAACACTGAAATTCATAGCATATAATGGCCTCAGACCTGAAGAGAGGTATTTCTGGGGTCCTGTGGTGAGGTGTGTGTGACATGACAGAGTGAATAATGCAGAGCTCACTGTGTCCGAACCCAGGCTATGGTGAAGGCCTAGTCGCAACACAAGTGAGAACACCCACAACACCTCAGATCTAGTATGCTTTTGATTCTGAATTAATGTCTGCTCACTTAGTGTTCAGAAACCTTGAACTCTTACCACATTTTCATGACCCTTGAATTTAGTTACATGATCCTATGTGGGTCTTGGCCTACGGTTAAAAAGCTGGGTTACACAGGATATGAACTGTAGTAAAGAGACAGCATCACCACAGGTAAGTGTTAGGATACAGGACTGACCTGCCCACTTTTTCTTTTCCCATTTCAAAGCATCTTCTCGAATTTGATCCCAATCTATCAATGGCTGATCGTCTGTTACACTCTCACTTGTACTGGTATCTGCTCCAACAGTAGGTTGGAATGCAATAATATCTGTTAAAAGATTTTGACAAAATTAGCTTTGAAGTAAGTCCTGAGAGCATAAAATCCCAAATGCAGTTTTTTGTGTATGGTTATTCCTAACAGGATATTGATACTTGAAATACAAAAATCTATATCTTTAAGGTCTAGGGAGATGGTTCTATGTGTAAAACACAATGCAAGCATCAGGACCAGATCTAGATCTCCAGCCTCCATGTCAATTCGAAGTGAACAGGGTGGGTGGTCTGCCTGTAATCACAGAACTGGGAGGTGGGCACGGAATATCTCCAGAGTAAGCTGGGTAGCTAGGGTAGCCCCCAGGGAAGTCTGGATTCAAGATGCTACTTAAGATAGAGGTGGAGAGCACTCAGATCTACTGCTGGCCTTTGAACACAAGCTAGAGCACATACACAGGCATAAACACACACAGACCCATCTTTACCCTTCATGCTAAAATGTGTGTTGAAGAGTTCTTTCATTTTAACTTACCTGTGGCTAAAAGTGAAACTAGATTTAAGCATAATAGTTAAATAGCCACAGATATTATGGTTTTTTTCATTTGCTTATTTACTCAGTATATGTGGTGTGTGTGCACTCATACACATGTCTCTGAATACGCCATGGGGCATATATGTCAGAGGACCACATGTAGAATGTAGTTTTCTCTTTCTACTGTGTGCATTCTGGGAACAGAAGTTGTTAGTTTGTTATGCTTTATGGCAAGCACCTTTACTGACATGTAATTTTGAAAAATGAAAATAATCTGGCCTCTTACTGAAAAAAATGTACAGATCTAGGAAATTTAAAGCTTTGTCTGAGGGGAATAGGATATTTATGTAACACTGAAAAAAACCAGGTGTGCTGAAGCACACCCGTATTCCCAACTCTTTGAGGCCACCTTGTCCTACACTGGAGATTCCATATCACAGAACAAAGCAAAACTAACAAAACCACTGACAAAAATTATTTTTATATTTCTAAAGCAGGCTGGGAGCGATAGTACAAGCCATTAATCCCAGCAGGCAGATACATACAAGTTCAAGCCAGCTTGGTCTACATAGTGAGTCGCAGACCAGCCAAGGCAACACAGTGAGAATCTGTCTCAATAATGATAATGATAATAACAATAACAACAACAACAAACTAAACCACTTAAATCTGCAAAAATTAACAACAATAAACTAAAGCAGTTAAGTGTGGAAAAATTACTTACCAACTCTGTGTCCTGGAATGTAATTTTGTTGTTTTTTAACAACATTATCTATCACTGTTTTTGCTTTTGTTTGCATAGCTTTATTACCAAAAATTTTGATTTCTGCCTCAGGATTTCCTTTGATTACCTAGATAAAAAGGGAGAAACACAGGTGAGACCAAATTCTCCTCACCAAGCCCCAATAATTACTCAACTAAAATAGTTAGAAAGAATGCAAACTCAGCCTTGCTATACTATTCCATGTCTAGTGTGAGTAGGATCACACACACAGACACAGACACACAGACACACACAGACACACACACACAATTTGTAAATTTAAATTCAGGACACTGTGGCTGAGGGAAAAGTAAAGCATTAATACAGGGGCTGCCCAGATGGCTCAGTAGTCAGGTTCTTGTCTCCAAAGCATGGGAACTTGAGTTGAATCTCTGGATCCCACTGAAGATAGGAGAGAACCAACTCCCTAAGTTGAGTTGTTCTCTCAACTCCATACAGCCAAATAATAAATGTAAAATATTAATCTGACATGCGATATTACCATGAGTTGGTGTTCCCTAGTCTGTAAAAATACTATTTTGGGGATTGTATCTTATATAATGATATAGCTGGACAGTGTAACCTATAAGCTATAGGTTACTAAACTTTAGTGTGATTAGGTAAAATTTTAAGTTAAAAGGATTCTCTATACATGTATACAATGATGGATCTAGGTTTCTGTTTTGTTTTGTTTTTTGATTTGGTTTGGGTTTTTGAGACAGGGTTTCTCTGTGTAGCGCTGGCTGTCCTGGAACTCACTCTGTAGACTTGCCTGGCATGACCCTGAACTCACAGGTCATAGAGATCTGCCTACCTCTGCTTCCTAAGTGCTGTGATTAAAGGCATATACCACCACACCTGGCTTGAAAATAGTATGTATTTATTTATTCTTTGATATTTTCATACTTTTACAACATATTTTTATTTGCAACTTTTAAAACTAAAATATAATTATATAATTTCTCCTTTCCCATTTCTTTCTCTCTTTCATTGAACTCCCGTGACTCCCTCTCAAATTCATGACTCTTAAGTAGTATTATCAGAGAGAGAGAGAGAGAGAGAGAGAGAGAGAGAGAGAGATCTACTGAGACCCTTTAGTATTGTCTGTGTGTGTGTATATATATGTGTATATATACATATATATGTGTGTGTGTGTGTGTTTTCAAGTCTGACTCCTCCATTGGGAACCCCTTGATCAGTTCAATGGTTAGGAGAGATGGCTCAGTGGTTAAGAGCACTGACTGCTCTTCCAGAGGTCCTGAGGTCAATTCCCAGCAACCACATGGTGGCTCACAACCATCTGTAATGGGATCCGATGCCCTCTTCTGGTGTGTCTGAAGACAGTTACAGTTGTACTCATATACATAAAATAAAAATAAATAAATCTTAAAAAAAAGGAATTTGTCAAGTCTGACCATTTGATATTGGATAACCCATTTGGGGGAAGACGAATTTTCCCTCTTGGGAATCATTAATTGCCTGTAGCTCTGCATCTAGGGGTAGAGTACCCCTTGAGGTGTTCTCTTCCCATGTTTGCATGTCTGCTGGTGATTGTTGTTAGGTAGCTATACTGTTGAGATTTGGTGGGTGTAGCTGTCACGTCTAGGAGAGACAATCTCCCAGCAGACTTCCTGGTCATGTGGCCTCCTTCAGTCTTTCTGTCCCTCTCTGGCCATGTTTTTAGTGTACTTTTATAATGTACTTTGATCACATCCATCTACCATTATCTCCCTCCAACTCCCCTCACAAAGCTTTTTGTTGTTGTTGTTTTGTTTGTATTTTTAGGTTTAGTTTTAAAAGGTTTGTACCCAGTGCCCAGGGAGGCCACAACAGGGTACCAGAGTCCCTGAAACTGAAGTTAGAGGTTGACTGTGAGCTGCCATGTGGGTGCTGAGAAGCAAACCTAGGTCCTCTGTAAGAGCAACAAGTGCTCTTAACCACTGACCCATCTGTCCAGCCCTGAGTTATCATTCTTAAATGGAGACTGTATTTAAAGATTTAGATTTTACTTCTAAGAGTCACAAACAATACACCTAGAAAAGAACAATTCAGGCAAATGCTGGTGAACAGGAATCTGTGAAGAGTTCAGGCCACTTACTATAGCACCATGCTAAGCACCAAGCAGATGCTAGGTAGGTGCTCCTTATAAAGGAACACAGATGACTTACCTGTATTCTAGTGTTTGTTGTATTTTGGATTTCTCTAATTTTTGACCCACCACGACCTGTTTTTAAAAATAAAAAAAAATTGATTATGAACTAAAATCAACAGAAGGGGTCTATGTACTTCCTTCAAAGGATGTTGTGTCTTCTTCCCCAAATCATTCAAGGGAAGATTTTTAGGGTGAAGTAAACACTTTCTGTTTTGGGTGAAGGATATCATCTGACACCTTTTTGAGTAAGAAGCAAGAGGCTTCTTTTACCATGATGGAGACTAAAAGATTCTATCCTAGCACATATAAAAATTGGATCCAAATTGTACTGAAGACAATATTAAGAAATTTAAAGGGTTGGAGAGATGGCTTAGAGGTTAAGAGCACTGACTGTTCTTCCAGAGGTTGAGTTCAATTCCCAGCAACCACATGGTGGCTCACAACCATCTGTAATGGGATCCGACGCCCTCTTCTGGTGTGTCTGAGGACAGCTACAGTGTACTCATCATATACATACAATAAACAACAACAAAAAAAGAAATTTAAAGCCACTTTTAACAATAACAAAATTTAGGTGTGTGTATGTGTGTTTAAGATAGTGATAGCCTAGGTTTGAACTCAGAATGCATCCCATACAATGCATTGAAGAGACAGATGTAGTCTATCTTGACACATTCGAGGAGCTCCCCTCCCCAGCCTTTCAGAGAAGGGCCTGGGCCCATTTTCACAGTGGCACTTCCTAACGAACCCATGCTCCCATCCAGGAAGCAGCAAATGCTGGCTTGGGAATAGACAAATGGCAACATCTCTCAGCACCCTCCATTCCCCACCTCCTACCCCTTCCCCCTCCCCTCAACCACCCCTACCCCAAATTGCAAAAGGCTGGAACCCTCTCTGATAGATGACCAGCACTTCCCAGTGCAGATGGTTCCTGCCCTTGGGAGAAGCAAAGACCAAACATCCTTAGAGAGATAAGTGCCATACTTTAGGCCATGAGAGGAGGACAATTAAGTGTTCCCTGACAGCTGTAGCCAGTTTGTAAAAATACTACTAGTTCCTGATAGCACCATAAAGGTCAGAAGAGCTCCTTTTCCCAGTTGTGTGATTCCACCCGGCTGCCTGAACAAATGATATTGTGTTTAAAAGGATGACTTTCCTTGTCACCTCCCCTGTCACTTAACTCCGAGAATCCCTGTTTATGCTTGTATGTATAAAAATCCCCAAACCCCTAGATACACGGTCACACTCCTAACATACTCAGTAGGAAGGGTTTTCGACCCAAGTCTGGCTCAAATAAAAGGCTCTTTTGTTACTCTACACTGGGTTGTCTATTCTTAGAGATCTAGAAATCCTAAGGCCTGGACATAACAGCATCCCATACAGAATGGATCCCTTAAATTCAAGGCAATTCTGCTGCCACTGCCTCCTAAGTGGTGGCAGTTTAAGCACCGGGCCACCACATGTAGCTAAATAATTCATTTTTAAAAAAGTGGGCAAGAGAAGATGAAGTACAGTTGAGTGGTACAACACTTGTCTCAGTAGCATGCCTAAGACCCCTCGTGTGCTCCCTGACTCTGACAAAAACTCTGATAAAAAATTCAAAAGGTGAGGGATCTGAGCAAGCATTTCTTCAGAAACATTTAAGTCTATAAGGTGTTCAACATCTCTAAACAGTCTAACCCAAACTGTAACAAAAAGACTGACTCTTATGTTTTCTTTAAAAAATATTTTTAAAACAGAGTCTCAGTATATAGTTCTAACCTGCCCAGAATGTTCTATAGACTTAACCTGCTTCTACCTTTGGGAATAGGAGCAGTGGTGTTAAAGTCCTACACCATCACATCCAACCTTACTGTTCTCTTTTCAAAAGATAATCTGCAGTACTTAGAAATGAATCCAGCCTGGGCTATACAGAGAAAAACAAAACAAAAGAATCAAATCAAGGGTTTTAAGCATGCTAGGCAAGTGCTCTACCATACCACTACCTCTAGGACGACTGTTACTTAAGACAAACGCACGTGCTTTGGTAAGGATGTTGTCTAATTGGTAGCCTGTGAACTACTGGCGTGATTGGAAAAAATAACAATTAAAAACTCTACGAACTAATTCAGCATTGACATGACTGAGTACACGTAAAAGGAGCCAGAAGCATGATGGTGAAGGCCTGCACTGCTGTGCATACAGAAGCACCAAAATAAAAACCTGGAAGCAGCTCAATCAGCATTAAGAGCACAATGGATAAACAGAAAGAGATACGTAGTAAAGAACTAACGTTCGGTCTTTAAAAGGAAATTCTGTCAGGTGACGATTTGAGGACATTTGTGCTAACCACAGTAAGTCAATCACAAAACACTATAATGTCTTGATTCTACTTGAGGCTCTAAAGTAAATAACCCAGCAGCACAGAGTGGTGAAGTGGAGGCACAAGATCAAGGAGAAACGAGGAGCTGAGAAATAGTATAGTTCTAATCACAGAAGAGCTGGGACAACCTTCCATTTACCACTAACACTATGTATATGCTGATTTGTTAAGTATAGAAGTAAGGTGGGGGTGGGTAGCAGATTAGGGGTAGAGCATGTGCTTAACTTTTACGAAGCTCTGGGTTCAATCCTGAGTACCAACAGAAAGGAAAAGAGAGGGAAGAAGGAAGGGAGGGGGTGGGAGAAGAAGCAAAGTAGGGGAGAAAACAAATTGTCATATCTTTTTTTTTTTTTTTTTTGTTGGTTTTTCGAGACAGGGTTTCTCTGTATAGCCCTGGCTGTCCTGGAACTCACTCTGTAGACCAGGCTGGCCTTGAACTCAGAAATCCGCCTGCCTCTGCCTCCCAAGTGCTGGGATTAAAGGCGTGCGCCACCGCCGCCCAGCAAGATTGTCATATCTTAACACACATTAGAATAAACTATCTAGGTTGCAAGGCTAGGGATGTATGTAGCCCAGGATGCACCTAGTTATTTGGGATGCCCTGGGTTCAATACCCAGAATAAGAAAAAAATCCAAACAAAAACAGTAGCATGCATATTCAACGAATTGTGTGTATTCCAACGCCTTTTAATTTCTGTCACAAATCTACTGGTTCTCTGGTGAGCTTCCCATTCAAATATTGGGCATCTCGTTCAGATTTTTGGGGGGCATGAATCTTGGAAACGGAATCTGTCTATTCTAGTAACCAGCCTTAAAACATACAATTAACTATGCCACAAAGCAGGCTTTTCGAACTAAATATATTAACTTCACAGACCCTAGCCCTCAAAAAACTACAAGTGAAACTCAGAATTGACACCAACTGAGGGAAACATCCCCCTCATTGTAAAACGCATCTCAAAAAAGTTGAAAATTGCACATCTAAGACTCCTGCGTACTGCTTTCCGCGTTAAATTTACCCCAAGTTAAACCTAAGGCAGGGACAAAGCTGAGGTTCTGATTTGACACTACTGCACACTTGGTCTGTGAAAACGACCTAGAGGGTGTTGGCCCGGGCTCGACCTCCGCACAGAGCTGCTGCCCCTCTGCGGGAAACCGGAAAGACCTTTACCGAGGATGCAGCGCGAGTCTTCCAGAGAGTTCTCTCCCGCACACGCCCCTGCCCGCCACAGAACTGCGCCCCGCGCTGCTGTAGCCCCGACGCCGCTGCCCGGTCACGCAGCGAGCCTGGGCGCCGCCCGCGCTCACCTATCACCGCGCCCACCACGTCGTTCTTCACCCCGAAGCAGAGCGGCGGTTCGCGGCGGCCGGCGGCCGTAGCCTCGGCGGCACCCGCGGGCTCTCTCCAGCCGCCGCCCGTACCCCTGCTACCGACCCGGCCTCTCCGGTTCGCCTCCTCCGTCGCCGTCCGTTCGGCGCCCCGGGACCCGGTCGAGCTTCGCTGGGGAGCAACGCCCGAGGAGGAAGCGTTGGCTGCGGGTTCCCGCCTAGACATGGCTCTGAGGAGACCCGCGCGTCGCACGTCGTTCCGGACTCAGCTGCACAGGCCGCAGCGTCGGAAAAACTCCACTGCCGCCCGCGAGCTCGCCCGCCAGTCCTAGGCGCGCTCATTGGCCGCCGCTCTTCGGGGGCGGGGCCTGGCTGGCCTGGCCAATCGGCGCTTGCTGCCGGGCGGCCACCTGGACAGGTACTTGCTCTGTTGGTGTCCGTCTGTGAACATCCAGTCTATGGGCAGCGCGTCTCGAAAACAATCCCAACTGTGCCTCGAAATTCAGGTTCATGACGGGCTAATGGTGCAGGCTTGAGGGTTTGCGTGACAATGTAAGGCTCTATCTTAAAATAACTTGATGAAAGCGTTTGCCTAGTATAGGGTAGGAGACCTTATCAACAATCCCAAATACCTAAAGTAAAACACAAACAAACAAACAGACAAACTATTAGCACCGCCTGAAGCACACCCAGCTTTGCAAGGGTTCTGGAGCTGGACACACTCCTTCAAGGCTGGCCTAAGCCACAGCATCCCTTGATGGGATTGGGATCCTAGAATTGTCTGAATAGATCGCAGGTCAATCATCCATCAAACAGAGGCCACTTAGACTCTTAGCATTGTATTTGTTGTAGGAGAAACTGAGGAAAAACTGTAAGATTAGGTCCATCCTAGGTTAAATAAAGAACATCAAGTTACATAATACTAAGTTCCTTGAAGATAGCCTTCATTCTCCTGCCTTCGGCTTGGGGGCGCTTAAGTGCTGGGGTTACAGATGAATTTCATCACACACAGATGTAGCAACAGTATCTCTTGATACAATAATCTCTGGGGAAATGTGAATAAAACACTATCAAAGCACCTTGGACTTACACAAAAACATGGTGCATAATAAAAAATAAGGCAATCACAGAACATCTCTTGACTGTGCTTGAAGATTTAAAGTAATCCAAACAGTGTAGCATGGGGTGTGGACACAGGGGAGCAAGGAGAAGCCAGAAGTACAGCAACTCTTTCATGTCCATGCAGACTCTGATCCTTAATCTGAAATGGGTGGTTAACAGTCTTTGGAAGTGACTTTGCTGGTTTTGATGTGCTAACATTGACGAGTATTTGTTAGTATGGCTACTCATGAGAGGATTTGTTTAGCAGCTTTCTTGCAATGCCTTTGTCTAGTATTAGCATTTGGGTAATTGTGCCCTACCCCCAACCTTGAGCAGGCCTGAAAGACCTTGTTTACCACAATACCCTCCACTCATCTCCAGCAGTGACTAAGGATGGGTTCCCCCACCCATCTCCAGCAGTGGCAAAGGATGGGTATCCCCACCCATCTCCGGCTGAAACAAGAAGGGGTTCAGTGAGACTTTCCCTTTAAATTAGAAGAGCTGAACATTAAACTTCGAGCCTTGATCAGAGAACTTTGTCTTGGCTTCATGCTTCTCTCACCCTTCTGTCCCTTTCTTCATTTCCAGCCCCCCTTTCAGGTGAATCCAGTTGGTCCGTGGCCGCAGGCAGCTACAGGTAATGAACGCTTTTCAGAAACAAGAAGCAGGAAGAATTATTTTCTTCCTCCTCTGAGAAGGCCAGACTTGCCTACCACAGATATGGAGCTGTTTTGTGAATGGATTTTAAGCAATGACCTCTCGGGCTGGTCTTTCACACTATAACAGATGCACTGCTCTGGAGAAATGCTAGAGACGCTGCCCACCACCATGAGGGAAAGGATGCTGAGTAAACTGGGAGTCATGAAGATTCCTAGGAGGGAGAGGAGGGGAGGAGAGGGAGAAGTCTGGGTAATAGCAAGCTTCCTGCTTTTCTGTGAGGTGAGGGAAGAGATCCGGGTAATAGCAAGCTTCCTGCTTTTCTGTACTTTTCACAAAACAGAACAAATGCATTTTCTCTCCCAGATCTGTATCACTAAACCTTTTTTTGGAATAAACAATTAGAATCACCTAGTACTAATTCAATTCATTATGTGGGTGGGCTTTCAATAAGAAAGTAGAGAATCCTTCAGACTGAAAGGCTTTTGGGTCCATCTACCTCCTACTTTCTCCCTCCAGACAGTGGAAAGGATGAAGACTAAAAAAAGGTGGTGGTGGTGGGAGATACCCACTCGACTTTAACCTACAGAGCCTTTGAAGGTGTTTTCTTTTCTCCAGTGGAAAGTTTACACCCACTTCTACCTTGCCCTGGTGTTCTTGGAGGGGTTACCTCTAGATGGAAGTAGAAGTGAAGTATACACTTAAATGTGTGTACTCTCGAGTGCACACACATACACAAACACACAAACACACACACACCACCACCACCACCACCACCACCAGTGCCTCCTTTTCTTATTTTGCCTCACCCACCTTTGGCTTCTTTCCTCTAAGGGATGCTCAGGGACCAGATTCTCTGAAAAGCTCCCAAGGATGTCAAGACTCAGAGCCAGCTTAGTTGCATACTCAAATCCCATTTGTAGCAGACTGGTATCTCAGCCACAGCAGGGAGCCTGGAGCTGCCCATCTCTCTGTTGCTGTGGTGGACAGAGAGGAGTTGGACTTGGAAGTCTAACTTCCCCCTGTGGTTGACCTTATTGCCATGGCATCTGACAAGAAGGTCCCAACCCATACAGGGCAGCAGAGTACTCCACGATTGTCAGAGCATCCCCTGGAATTAGTTAAGATGTGTGAATTCAACCAAAAACCTGACTGGGGAACACTATCTCTCTTACACACACACACACACACACACACACACACACCACACACACATACACACACACACCACACACATACACACACACACACACACACACACACACACGCTCACTTACCACCTGGAACAGGGGAGCTGCCACCTTCTTATAGCTTGCCAGGCTTCCTTCTCATTTTGATCCTTGTAAAATTCCCACAAGTCCCAGCTATTCAGGAGGTAGAATCAGGAAGATTGCATGTTCAAGGCCAATCTAGGTTACTTTTGTATACTTAGTCTTTTTCTTTTTCTTTTTTTTTTTTTTTAGGTTTTTTGAGACAGGGTTTCTCTGTGTAGTCCTGGCTGTCCTGGAACTCACTCTGTAGACCAGGCTGGCCTTGAACTCAGAAATCTGCCTGCCTCTGCCTCCCAAGTGCTGGGATTAAAGGCCTGTGCCACCAACGCCCGGCTTGTATACTTAGTCTTAAAGTGACAGAAACTGGAGTTGTGGCTCTGTGCTAGAGTCCCACAGATAACAACAGGAAAACAGCGACACTAGCAAGGACAAAACCTCCTGTAAGGTGGGTATGAATTCTTCCTTTAGGGGACAGGAACTGAGGTGAGAGAAAGCCAGTGTTTGGGGCCCAGATGAATGTGATGCTGATGACAGGAGCTTCTGCTGTACCACGGAGCCTGTCAATTCAGTGTACATTTAGTAGAAAGAGGATTGCCTAACCTTGAGCTGTAGTAGCTGTCCAGGTGAAACCTATGGCTTTCTCTGAATGAATGTGGGCAGGTTTAAGGTTAAAACAATTACAGCACCAGTGTATTTAATCCACATGGCTGGAAAGCAGATAAATGTAACAGACATAAATGCACTGTTCCAAGACTTCGACTTGGTTCTCTCACTTGACATCATACATTTAGTATCTCTTCATTGTTAGACAAACATGGGTTTCTTTGTGTGGCTGTGGTAGACTAGGCTGACCTTGAGCTCACAGAGACCTGCCTGCCTTTGCTTCCCAAGTGCTGGGATTAAAGGCCTGTGCTCCTGTCAGGGGCAGCCTTGCTTATACACTGAAGGCCTAAAATCAGCAATAGGCCTAAGTCAGCCTGCTAGCACAAAGTCTTTGAAACAGTTAGCTATAAGATATTGTAAACAGGCAGCTATGGTGGAAATTTACCAGCCTGGGTAGGAACAAGTAGTCATAGGTCTTGTGGATAGTCATAGACCTTGGGTAGCCTTGGTGGATAGTACCAACTTAGATAAGGACAAGTGAATCATAAGCGGAGTCTTAGTGACCTGTCCCCTGAACCTTCACCCAGCTGACACTCTGTTCTGGAAGTATCTGTACTCCCCATGAACACCTACGCTCCTGCGTCATCCCCTTCCCTACATCCTGCCTTTCTGTGTATATAACCCCTGCATGAAAAAGTAAAATCATTGGTTTGATCAGCCTATAGACAAGCCATCTTTCTTTGCGTTTGCCTGTTCCACCATTCTCTCTTTCAGGTGATCTCCCTGGACCCCACAGATAGAGTCCTGCTGAATGGGGCACACCCCTACTGCCTAGCTTCTCACTTTTATGAGCTCCCATTTCAGTGTCCTGTTCAGAAAGTTCTTTCTGGCACGCAATCTGCATTGGCTCAAGGAGAAGGGATTGTAACTTCCTTGGCTGTTGTACTTACCAGGACCACAAGAAGGAGCCTCCAGGGTTATGAAAAGTTTGCTGAGGTAGTATGTCAGGCTGGAATCTCCCCAGTAGAATATACCCATGCTTACCAAGCTAGTGGGTATAGCTGAAGCATTGTGGGTAGGCAGCCCTAATCCTTGCAGTGAGTTGCACTGGCATCACATGTGAGTGAAGTTCCCTCTAGGTTGGAGGAGGAACCAGAGCCTGCTTGTGTCATGGATTCAACAGTGATCTTGGCTAGGACCATGGCTTCATATATATGCAGTCTTTGCCTGTACAATGGACAGGAAGAAAGCCTAATGGGCATGCTGATCTCATTGCTGGGACAGATTGTGGGGCGTATGTCTTAATCTCAGTATGTAGAGCCCTCACTAGGGTTATTGGCCAAACAGGAGTGTTGGCAGATACCTAGGCTTTACTGGGGCAATGGATGGGGCTGGAGCCTCCCAAGCAAGCTTTGGTCACTAGAGAGGGTCACAGATGATGGCAAGGGCTCCCAACCATCATAAAGGGAAAGATGGGATGGGAACCTCCCAGAAACAGAGTACTCACTACACTGTGGGCTGGTCTGCAGCCATCCTAGCCTCTTAGTTCTTCTTGCTGTACCTACTGAGGGTAGATCCTCTTAGTGAATTGGTGGTCCTAGGGGAATGAGTATGAATAAGGCTTCCCAGGTGAAAATGAAATGGAAGTGCAAATGAGGAAGGCTAAAGATTTGTGGTTACTCAATACTCTTGACAAA